AATGCTAGTTAACAACTTCCTTCAAACTGCACGCAGATACATACAAATGGTATCAGCGAGTTCATCATACTCTGGGGAAGTAGATAAAGAGCTTCATTGCCAAAATCCTGAAGCATCCCTTTAAGGGGGTTAAGGAAAAGCTACCCACTCATAGAGATTAGATATTATATTGTTTATTCTGTTATTCGTCCTTTGTCCAGCTCCTATGCCACGTTTTGATATGTGGAAACTGTCACGATCGTCGGGTACAGAGGACCAAGGCGCAGCGTGGAAGGTGAACATATTTTATTAATTTGAATGATAACACGATCAAAAACAACAAACGATAACGTGACATCCAAAGGTGCAAAACACCAACCTATACAGGAACAAGATCCCACAAACACTGTGGGAAAACTGGCTGCTTAAGTATGGTACCCAATCAGAGACAACAAGCAACAGCTGATACATGTTGCCTCTGATTGAGAACCACACTGGCCAACATAGAACTACAAAACTAGAACGAAAAACAAATGAAAACTCACACCCTGGCTCAACATACTAGAGTCCCCAGAGCCAGGGCGTGACAGTACCCCCCCACAAAGGCGCGGACTCCGGCCGCGCCAACCAAACACCACAGGGGAGGGACCGGGTGGGCACTCCGCCTTGGCGGCGGATCCGGCTCCGGGCATGATTCCCACTCCCTCTCCAACCCCCCCAAAGTACCCCTGGTCCGGTCTGGCCCTGCTGGCCGGAGCTGGACTGAACACCGGTGGAGCAGATTGCTCTAGCTCCGGCGTGGAGCAGCTGACCGGTGCCGAACCAGGCACCGGTGGAACAGGCACGGGCTGTGCCGGACTGACGACGCACACCACTGGCTTGGTGTGGGAAGCAGGAACAGGCCGAACCGGGCTGACGATGCGCACCATAGGCTTGGTGCGTGGAGCAGGAACAGGCCGAACCGGGCTGACGATGCGCACCATAGGCTTGGTGCGTGGAGCAGGAACAGGCCGGGCCGGGCTGACAATGCGCACCATAGGCTTGGTGCGTGGAGCAGGAACAGGCCGGGCCGGGCTGACGACGCGCACCACAGGCTCGATGCGAGGAACAGGAACAGGCCGGACCGTACTGGGGACACACACCACTGGCCCTACGCAGGGATCAGGAACGGGCCGGACCGGACTGGTAACACACCCCAGTACCTCTCGCCGTGCCTCTACACTTTCCCTCTCCTCTGTGACCAGTGGCCCCCTTAACCTGGCGGCCTCCTCTGCAAACCCGCTGGACCGCTCTATCGCGGCCTCCTGCTGCCCCGTCGTCCACGGCGTGAGCCCCCCCCTAAAAAATGTCTGGGGGCCTCTCCTCCCCGTGGGCCAGGCCCAGTCGAGGTTGATGTCCTTTAGCGATACCTCTGGCGCTGGCTCCTGGACACGCTGCTTGGTCCAGTGTTGGTGGGATCTTCTGTCACGATCGCCGGGTACAGAGGACCAAGGCGCAGCGTGGAAGGTGAACATATTTTATTAATTTGAATGATAACACGAACAAAAACAACAAACGATAACGTGACGTGCACAACACCAACCTATACAGGAACAAGATCCCACAAACACTGTGGGAAAACTGGCTGCTTAAGTATGGTTCCCAATCAGAGACAACAAGCAACAGCTGATACACGTTGCCTCTGATTGAGAACCACACTGGCCAACATAGAACTACAAAACTAGAACGAAAAACAAATGAAAACTCACACCCTGGCTCAACATACTAGAGTCCCCAGAGCCAGGGCGTGACAGAAACATTCTCCATTCTTTGTAATTTGAGGGACCAGATTGGGACAATGCAAAGTAATGTCAATAACATCACCATTTCTCCTTTATATAAATATTTTATTCAATATGTTGTATCTGTGTATACAATGGAGACACAAACTGTACAGTGCAGACAAACTCTTTTGCATATATATGTATGTAAAGTTAGCGGTACATTTACCGACATTATCTCTTTTTTTCTTGTTTTTGTTTTGACTTGATACACATAGCCTACAGTACCACATGCATATCTCCACTGTCTTCCTTGTTTACCATGCAACAGATGAGTGACGTAGAAAGACTGGGAGAGAGAGAGAGACCGGGGGAGAGACAGATGGAGAGATAGAGAGATGGAAATAGAGAGAGAGATGGGCAGGGGTAAGGGGAAGAATGAGAGATTGTTGGGAAAGAAAGAGAGAGAGAGAGAAAGAGAGAGAGCGAGAAAGAGAGAGGATTGTACATTTGCACAGTCAAAGTCAATTCAATTTTTCGAAAACTGATCCAGTCTCACTTGAAGTAGTCAGTTGGAGATTCAGAATCCAGCAGCACATAGAGCTTACCGATGGCAGGATTCAATCAGAGACCTTAGAGTGAGTTTGGCCAATGCAGTTTGAACTATGACATCACATGGCTCGATGGCAGCCATGTTCATGCCACTGGGCAATATTGAATCCTCAAGAGGCAGCAACGTGGTGCCCCCAGCTCTACAGTTGGCCGAACTCTCCATATAAAGGACTCTGGTTTCAACAAGAACAGAAACAAAGACACAACACCATCAAATTTTAGGTCAACATTTCTTTGTCAAGAACAGCAGCTTTTGTTCAGCTTGGTACAGACAAAACACTGGACAAGTAGTACAGCAAATGTTGCTTCAACACTTTCCCACACACAGCCCAGTGGATTTTTTTTTTTTTACACCTTACCTTTTTGAGTGTTTTCTGTATGATCTCACCCAGCTAGCTATGTTACAGTGGCCTATGAGCGGCCTGCCAAGGGCAAATTTGGCATCCATGGCCCGTTTTGCTCATAGGCTTTACAGTGGCTGACTGTTGGTATTAGCTCTTGGAGCTAACGCGAGTCTTCAGGTCCCAGGCATGGTTACAGACTCAGCTAACTACCTCTGCTACTTATACAGGAAGTGACAGATCTTGATCCTCACAGTAAACATTTCATGACAAAAACGTAACAAACCAACATCATTCCCTTATTTCATTTAGACGATTGACACGTAAAAGAGTTTGGGTAAAGTCAAACGACAGGTAAAGTCAAAGTACCAATTGCTTCTAAATGAGAACGCTACAACTCCAAGATGGGATGGGAGGTTTGTAGTCACAGTGTGAAAGCCACAGATATAGGACTACCGTGGTGTACCTCTTACTAATACCAGCTAGCCGTTACACCACCAATATCACTTATTTTACTGGACCGTTTAGGACTATTTGTTCCCTGTAGTGATTCTACTGTTCTTTCAATATTTTTGCAAATTCTTTGACTTTGTCAACTTCGCTATGTGTGCATGTACAGGTAACTGTCAAAATAAAGGAAACCCCAACATAGTGTCTTAATAGGGCGTTGGGCCACCACGAGCCAGAACAGCTTCAATGCACCTCGGCATAGATTCTACAAGTGTCTGGAACTCTATTGGAGGGATGCGACACCATTCTTCCGTGAGAAATTCCATCATTTGGTGTTTTGTTGGCAGGTAGACGTTTATTGTCATAAGTCTTGTCCTGGAGGCAGAACTGAGCGAATTCCCCTTAGATAGGCCAGCTGCAAAGTCAAAATGGGCTTTTTGGTCTTAATTTAAGGTTAGGGTTAGGCATTAGGGTTAACAGTGTGGTTGAGGTTAGATTTAATACCATATTTTATTACTTTGTGGCTGTGCTAGCTAGTAAACATTCCAGAACTGCCTCCAGAACAAGATTCATGACGAAAAACGCTAACCTGTGTTTTGTTGATGGTGGTGGAAAACGCTGTCTCAGGCGCCGCTCCAGAATCTCCCATAAGTGTTCAGTTGGGTTGAGATCTGGTGACTGAGACGGCATTGCCTGTGGTTTACATCGTTTTCATGCTCATCAAACTGTCCAGTGGCCACTCATGCCCTGTGGATTGTCATCCTATGGGGGCATAGCCATGGTAGCTTCTGTGGACATGCTAGCTACTCTGCTACCATGCACTCTACCTACCATGCATTGTATCTGCTACGTCCTCAATACTACCAAAGCATTCACATCTCATCCCCAGCCCCAGTCCTCTCCCTCTATACATGTCTTAGAAAATAGAGTATTGACCTCCTGCATCATTCGCTACCTAAATTAACCTACAAACACACAGAGAGAAAATAGTGGTAGTAAGAGATATAATAGAGATGTGGAGGTAGAGATAGAGAGAAGCTAAGAAAGAATGAAAGAATGAGAGAGAGAGAGAGAGAGAGAGAGAGAGAGAGAGAGAGAGAGAGAGAGAGAGAGAAAGAGAGAGAGAGAAAGAGAGAGTGACAATCATTTGAAAAATAGAAGATGACAATCCTGTTTTGTGTCTGTACAACAAGCTATCCAGACGGTCGCTGGTGCATTTTGGGTATAGAATTATAAACAAACAAACAAATTGGTAAATAGACAAACAAACAATATACTGTGGTCAATATGGATGATCTCTGTTGCTATAGTGCATCAGAGTGAGAGAGGGGTCTTATGGGTAGCCATCAGCAGGCAAGGCTACCTGGCAAAAAGGAAGAGGGAAAAAAAACGCTTTGTCATCATTCTCACAGATTGTCACAGAAAAATAATCGTAAGGATTTGAAAAAGGCATTCCGTATCGCGTAGGTAGGGCATTCCGCTGTCCAAGTTTGTTAGTTTATCTAGCTGATAAAATCAGCCAATCCCCCTCCTCCTCCTCCTCCCCCTCCTCCTCCTCCTCCTCCCCTTCCTCCTCCTCCTCCTCTTCCTCCTCCTCCTCACCACCTTCCAATTCCTTCTCCCCTCCTCTTCTCCCGTTCTCCTCCCCTCCCCCATCCCCAAAATGGAGTGGTCCATATCCTCATCTCGAACACCACTGCACCGAATCGGCCAAAAAGAGAAAGAGAGAGAGAGAAAGAGCGAGAGAAAGAGAGAGGAGGTGGGACTTAGCCCATAATTGACCAATCAAGGTGAGAGTTTGTGTGCAGTGGGCAGAGTCTCATGTCTCTGTCGTGCGTGAGGAGAGGAGGGGATGGGGTTATGTCGCAGTCTCCTTCGGGTCGGGTTTGTTGACTGGCTTGCCCCCGTTCATGGCCACTGGTTCGCTGGTTGTGCTTTTGCTGGACGGGACTCCGGCGACTTTAGGCAACGTCTCTCTGACGTCGTGCAACGACGGCTCCTTGTACATCGCAACTACAGAGAAGAGGAGAGATCAGAGTGTTAGAGCGTGTGAGTGTGTGTGTGTGAGTGTGTGTGTGTGTGACAACACCCTTACCTTCTATAGGTTTGGGCAGGAAGTGAGCGGCGGGTTTTGTCTTTTTCACGCGGTTGCCCTTCATGGGCTGTCCCTCCTTGTTCAGGCCCAAGAACCAGGCCCTCCCAGACTCATTCTGTCTGTACAGCATCGACGAGTAGATCACATAGTAGTTCTCAAACACCGACTCCTTAAACTTACACTCTGCTGTAAACAGCTCCTACAGGAGACACACACACACACACACACACACGCACACGCACACACACACACACACACGCACGCACAAACGCACGCAGGCACACACACGCAGGCACACACACACACACACACACACACACACAGCATCAGTATCAAACAGACAACAATGGACAAATTGCTACCACTTAATATTCCATTAGATGCCAGCCAAACGTCCATCCAACAATTTTATAAGAGTTTCAATCAACTGTTTCCATGACGTTTATCTACCTTCCATTGGCGACGATTCACCAACAGTCAACCTGCTAAATGACTTGCCTGACGACTGATCCTGAACTTAATTCTACTGCTCTATCGATCGCTACATACATTCAGCCTGAAACTGCCATCCTAGAAGGTGTTTGTGCTCACTTCAAAATGAGGGGAGTTGTACAAAACAAATTCATCAGCGATTGGATCGTCTCTAACCTATCAGAGTATCAAAGCCAATGACGTGATTCATGGTTCGTGATGGCCCAACCCATTGGTTTCTGGGACCAATCAGAACGGTTAGAATGTGTTTGCATTCTACAAGACATCAGGGAGGAAAGCAAATCCAGACTGATTGTGGAGAAGAAATGCTAGTGTGCGTGGTGTTTGGCGAAGTGGATGGGCAGTCAGTCTGCTAAATGACTGATTTGTACTGTAATTAACCATCCCTAGCTTCCAGAGCCTCAGAGAGACAGACAGACAGGGAAAACATTGAAATTCCGATCAGGTGTGCTTGTCAGTCACCACCACAAGAAAAGAGACACTCGCTCACCTGTGTGGGCCTTTGTTCCCAGTTACCATGGAAACGATGGAACGGAGAAGATGGGAGGAGAAGAGGAGGAGGAAGAGGGTAGGGCAGTAGTTTGATGTGATGGCTAGGTGTAATTGATGTGTGTGGTTGGCAACGTATTTCCATTTCCCATTGCTCTTTTTGTGGTTCTCATTATGGTTCACTGTACTTTTCCCCTGTGTCATTCACCTCTGTCCAATTAACACATTCAGGCTGTGTCTCAATAGTCTAAAGTGGCTTCCTCTACTTGTCTTCTCTCCACTCTTTCATCTGCTCTGATGTGAAATAATTGGACAGGTGTCCACCATGTTGCTTTCACTTATCCTGTGATTTCAAATCATTTAGGATTTAATGGCCCAATGCAGACGTTTTTTAAAATCTCAACATCAAATAATTTCAGGGTAACAAATAAATACCTTACTGGGATTGTTTCAATTAAAATAGTCCCCCCCCCCAAAAAAAAATTGCTTCTTAGCAAAGAGCGATTTCTCTAGCAAGAATTTTGCTAGGACTGTCTAGGAGTGGTTTGAGTGTGGAGGAGAAAACTGAAAACTAGCTGTTATTGGCAGAGAGATTTGGAACCCTCTTTCTTATTGGTCTATTAACTAATTGTCACCAGGCAGGCCAAAACTCCATCCCACCAAAACATACATTTTCTAACAGCTCTTTCACTAAAAGGAATTATCATAATTTTCACAATTTCACAGTATTATTCCAACCTCCTAGTGTGGAAATATATATAAAACACAGGAAAATCACGTTTTTGACTGCACTGGGCCGTTAAGGTGAGGTTACAAGGAGAGGAAGCCATTTTAGACTATTGAGATGGACCTGCATACTGAACAAAGTTATAAAACACAGGCTGTTAGAGAGAGAAGAGGCAGTGTAGATTAAAGGAGAGAAAGAAACAGGGGAAGGAAAGGAGGATGTAGGAGAGAAGAGAGAGATAAATCACCAAGGGAGGAGGATGTCTCCTGGGGGGAAGCATACAAACAGTCTTGTATAACTAACCTTGTGGGGACACACAATTCAGTCCCATTCAAAATCCTATTTTCCCTAACCCCTAAACCTAACCTTAACCTTAACCCTAACCTTAACCGCAAAACCTAACTCTAGCTCCTAACCCTAACCCTAAAACTAACCCTAGCTCCTAACCCTAAACCTAATTCTAACCCTAACACTAATTCTAACTTTAACCCTAAACCCCCTAGAAATAACATTTGACTTTGTGGGGACTAACACAATGTCCCCAGTTGGTGAACATTTTGATTGTTTACTATTCTTGTGGGGAGTATAGTTAAACATGTCCACACACACACACACACACACACACACACACACACACACACACACACACACACACACACGCACACACAGTTTGCTACAGCAGGAAAATAATCCTGCATCAACAGGAAATGTGAATTATTATGTGGATTATAATTAATGGACATTTTTGTAGGGGTTGATACATTTTCCGTAAGGGAAAATCAAGTCTGACATTTCAAAGTGGAAATTACAAACTTCAGAAGCCTTTTAAAACCTCAAATATACTCCACGTTTTAAATGTCCTGCATTGCAGGAAAGTTCTCCTGCAACAGGGTGATCAAATGAAGATCCTACATCTGTACACACACACATGCTGGACCTTAGTATTTCATAATATTAGAAACTGACTTAGGGCCAGTTTCATGCTGTGCTCTATACGGCTGAGGTTAGACCAGGGGTTAGAAGGGTGCAGAGAGTGATCCAGTATTAATCCCACACATCCAGCTGGTCTTATTGTGTGTATGTATGTGTGTGGTGTGGTGTGTGTTTGTGTCGTGTGGTGTGTGTGTGTGTGTGTGTGTGTCATGTGGTGAGTTTGTGTGTGTGTGCATGAGTGTGTGTGTGTCTGTTTATGCCTCCGACACTGCTCATTATCACACTGCTAATTACCCAGGGGAATTGTGGATAAACAAGTAAGTCAAAGAAAGGAAAGAGGGAGAGAGGAGGAGGAGGACTGGAGAATGACAGAATAAAGAACGACAGAATAAACACTGTGTGAAGGAGGAGGGAAACTTAGAGACCTCTTTAGATGGAGTGTTTTAGTCTTAAAAGGGCAATCTGTAGTTCCATTTTTGGCAAAAAGTATTTTTGTATTAATTTTCTTTTCGAAAGGATTTTTCCCGTTGGTTGGTTTAAACCAAAAAAGCCATATGATACTCTGAGAAAAATGGCGGATGAATGGTGTTCAGTTCTACAGATGCCTGTATCTCTTCAGCTGCCATATACAGTGCCTTCGGAAAGTATTCAGACCCCTTGACTTTTTCCACATTTAGTTACTTTACAGCCTTATTCTAAAATTGATTAAATTGTTTTTTTTTCTCTCATCAATCTACACACAATACCCCATAATGACAAAGCAAAAACAGGTTTTTAGACATTTTTTGCTAATTTATATAAAAAACTAACAAAATGAAATATCACATTTACATAAGTATTCAGACCATTTACTCAGTACTTTGTTGAAGCACCTTCGGCAGCGATTACAGCATCAAGTCTTCCTGGGTATGACGCTACAAGCTGTGGTCCTCTGTAGCTCAGCTGGTAGAGCACGGCGCTTGTAATGTCAGGGTAGTGGGTTCAAACCCTGGGACCACCCATATACAGAAATGTATGCACGCATGACTGTAAGTCGCTTTGGATAAAAGCGTCTGCTAAATGGCTTATTATTATTATAAGCTTGGTACACCTGTATTTGGGGAGTTTCTCCCATTCTTCTCTGCAGATCCTCTCAAGCTCTATCAGGTTGGAAGGGGAGCGTTGCTGCACAGCTATTTTCAGGTCTCTCCAGAGATGTTCGATTGGGTTCAAGTCCGGGCTCTGGCTGGGCCACTCAAGAACATTCAGAGACTTGTCCCGAAGCCACTCCTGCGTTGTCTTGGCTGTGTGCTTAGGGTCGTTGTCCTGTTAGAAGGTGAACCTTCGCCCCAGTCTGAGGTGCTGAGCGCTCTGGAGCAGGTTATTATCAAGGATCTCTCTGTACTTTGCTCCGTTCATCTTTGCCCTGATCCTGACTAGTCTCCCAGTCCCTGCCACTGAAAAACATCCCCACAGCATGATGCTGCTACCACCATGCTTCACCGTAAGGGATGGTGCCAGGTTTCCTCCAGACGTGACGCTTGGCATTCAGGCCAAAGAGTTCAATCTTGTTCTCTTCAGAGCAGAAAATCTTGTTTCTCATGGTCTGAGAGTCTTTAGGTGCCTTTTGGTAAACTCCAAGCAGGCTGTCATGTGCCTTTTACTAAGGAGTGGCTTCTGTCTGGCCACTCTACCATAAAGGCCTGATTGGTGGAGTGCTGCAGAGATGGTTGTCCTTCTGGAAGGTTCTCCCATCTCCACAGAGGAATTCTAGAGCTCCGTCAGAGTGACCATCGGGTTCTTGGTCACCTCCCTGACCAAGGCCCTTCTCCCCGGATTGCTCAGTTTGGCCGGGCGGCCAGCTCTAGGAAGAGTCTTGGTGGTTCCAAACTTCTTCTGTTTAAGTATGGTGGAGGCCACTGTGTTCTTGGGGACCTTCAATACTGCAGAAATGTTTTGGTACCCTTCCCCAGATCTGTGCCTCGACACAATCCTGTCTCGGAGCTCTACGGACAATTCCTTCGACCTCAAGGCCTCCTGTAGCTCAGTTGGTAGAGCATGGCGCTTGCAACGCCAGGGTTGTGGGTTCGATTCCCACCGGGGGCCAGTATTTAAAAAAAAATTATGCACTCACTAACTGTAAGTCGCTCTGGATAAGAGCGTCTGCTAAATGACTAAAATGTTTTTGCTCTGACATGCACTGTCAACTGTGGGACCTTATATAGACAGGTGTGTGCCTTTCCAAATAATGTCCAATCAATTGAATTTACCACAGGTGGACTCCAACCAAGTTGTAGAAACATCTCAAGGATGATCAATGGAAACAGGATGCACCTGAGCTCAATTTCGAGTCTCATAGCAAAGGGACTGAATACTTATGTAAATAAGGTATTTCTTCTTTTTTTTAATATAAATTTGCAAAAATTTCTACAACCTGTTTTCGCTTTGTCATATTGGGGTATTGTGTGTAGATTGCAAAAAAAAATAATATATTAATCAAATTTAGAATAAGGCTGTAACGTAACAAAATGTGGAAAAGGTCAAGGGGTCTGAATACTTTCCGAAGGCACTGTACTGTT